TCGTGACTACCGGGACTATAAACGGGGAGATCTACCTCAAGGAGTGTCTACAGAAGCGTCTGCTTCCTCTGTTGAAGCAACACGAATGCCCTAAGATCTTCTGGCCGGATCTAGCTTCGTGCCACTATTCAAATGTTGTCCTGGAGTGGTACGAAGCTAATGGAGTCAAATTCGGACCCACGGACATGAACCCCCCCCCCCTCCTCCCCCAACGTACCGGAACCCATCGAAAAATACTAGGTTATTATGAAGCAGGCACTACGGAAGCATCCCAAGGAGGTCAAATTTGAGGAAGACATGAAGAAAAAGTGGGTTTACGTACAGAAGAAGCTGCAGCCAGATGTTGTACAGAACCTAATGAGTAGAGTTAAGCGTAAGGTGCGAGCGTACGGTTATGGTATTGAAGTTGAATGAAATAAATATGCCAAACGCTTACTAATGGGTTATATTTTATAGTCTGAAAGTTTGAAAAGGATTGGTCAATTAGGTAATTTTCTACAGCGTTTTTTCCGTGATGCAATTTGATGTGGAACACCCTTTAATTGAAAAAGTGTAAAAAAAAAATCATAAAAACCTTCAAATATGTGTCATAGCTATACACAATTTTCAGCAAAAATGTGTATTTTGATTTTAATGAACTTTCCACAAACAATTAATCCTCGAATTAATCATATATCGTCAACGTTTAGCGATAGAGGTTGCTGTTTTGGATGCAGTTACTTGTTTTAGTGTACTCTACAACTTTTGTGGAGAGACTAACTCTCTTTATACATTCATGAAACTACGCCACATATCTCACCACTCAAATACATGTTCTTGCCTTATAACGAAGACAACATATCGAGAAGACTGGCAACTCTTCCATTTTTCCATACGACCGCTATGAGACCGACACAATCGCGTCATCTGCCGCTCAAAGGTAAATGCTTTGAACGATTTGATAGCAAAGATTACAACCTCAGAAGAAAGGTTTGTGTATTTGCTCATTTTTCGAAGCTGTACTTCCACCTTCGTTCGAGCGCAGTGCTACTGTATCTGTCGCTTGGATTCTGTCAGAGTTGCCAGTCTTCTTGATTTGAAGCCTTTGCTTCTAGTATTGTTTCATATAGTAAAAAAAAATTGTTTGAATCAACATTAATCATTTACCCTTGCAATATCTCAGATATGCTGCAAACATCAATGTTGACAAGAAAAATGATAAGATCTTATCTAACCTAATGATTTTCCAGGATGATGTCACGTACTGGCTGCGTTTGTGTTATATTGGATTAGATTAGATTAGGAACTTCAAGACAGTTCCATTAACATAAGGAAAATTGTGGGAGGTTTAAAGAAACACAGTAAACTTCAGGGAAGTCCTCAAAACTTCACTTCCAAAGTCTAGAGAAACTTTCGAAAGTTTAGAGATCTTAATGAAAGCTACGTAACCTTAAAAACTTCGAAGAAAATTAAGGGATTACTTTATGAACATCTGGAAAATTGCGGAATCTCTAGAGGAGTTCAGAGATCTTAAGGAAATTTGGATCACTTTAGGAAGACTGCGAGAAGATCAGCCAAATAACCAATCGAAAAAAAAACTCGACCTTCTCCGATTTGCATATAACTTGGTAACAATTGTGATTTATGGGCAATCATTCACATTTCTACAAAAAAACGGCCATTTTTGATGCTGTATTGTCACGTCAACACATTCCTACCCATTCCTTTCTTGACCTGCATGCGGACGTGGCCGGCGTTGGTATTGCCTAGTTTGAGATCACCAGTTTTTACACATTGAGGATGAATGCTGGTCCCAAGCATCGCCTATTGGTTCTCTGTATTATTACTGCTGATCTGGCAATAACGGAGTAGCAACCTGCGGATGGTTAAGTCATGCTCATATGCTCATAGCATAGCATAGCATAAACCAGGTTGCACAATGTCGTAGGTGGTATGAGCTCCAAACTGTTGTTAAGATGGAGACCCACCTTCATCCGTTGCTGTTAGATAGTAATTTGTGATTAATTACTACCTCTTAGATACAGGATGTGTCTCCCTCCAACAGACCAGAGCTGTCCTTGCCACGTCCTTGCATCTGGTGGGGAAAGGGGAGGAATGTTAGTCTGACACTTGCTTAAGAGAGATGCAGAGAGCTCTACGACTCCTCATAAGTGTCACGGTAAGGGTGGATTTTTGTTAGTATGGAGGGTAAGCCATAGGATACGCCCAGCCGGCGTTGCTGGCAATTGTTATATCAAGCATTTAATAAATAGAAGCTGTAAGTAGTTTATCTGTCCGTTGTTGCTGCCCATTACCTAAACATATTATTCAAATCAGTCTTCAGATGTTGGAATTAAGAATTAAGTTATCAGCTCGATCCTGTTGCTCCTTTGTGCCTGAAAATGTTTGTTGATCCTAAATATATGCACAATTCATTCTGATCGATAGGAGGTTCTCACGTGTAAAAGGTTATTAAGGTTCAATTTACTTTGATGCTTTTTGGAAAATTTCAAAAGCAGTTTTTTCCGACGCATAATTTCAGATTGCAAAAAGCTCGCACTATTCGATTCCTTTTAATATTTTACACAAAATGACGCGAGCTTTTTGCAATCTAAAATAATGCGTCGAAAAAAACTGCCTTTGAATTTAAAAACAAATGCATCAAAGTAAATTGAACCTTAATAGTATGTGGAATCGTAGATTAGAATGAAAATTCTTCCTTGGCCTAACTTCCACTGTCTGGCAGTGGCATTATGGATAAAATCTACCTGCAATCATTTCTTATGAATGCAAGAAGCTTGAACCCGGGAGTTAGAAAGTGATAGCTCTACCGCAGCTACAATAGCCCATATCAAGAACGCAAGCATTCCGAATCTATTTTCACACATGATAAGCCCCGCTTCAATACATTATCGGTGCAAATATACACCATTGATAATGTACTGAAACTTTCATTCAAGCAGTAGTGCAATACTTGATTGACGCGTATTTAGTAAGTTTTGAAATGATCGTCTTTAATTAGATGGATATTTCCTATCGAGGACAGAGGAACGAAAAGGTAAATAAACTTAGTTAAGTCATGCTCATATGCTTATGCTCATTAATGAATTCCCCGTTTTGTCAAATTTTGTATAGCTCGGCATTTTATGTTGCTGGGTCTCAGTAAAAAACAAGCCGAGATTCAGCTAACGAAACTAACTCAGACAGCGAGTCATTTTAACTCAGTTGTAAGCAACTTTTACTAATTCGTATGGAGACATTTCTAAAAGCGTAGGCCACTCAGCGCATAAGTAATCCACGCTTTTAAAAATTCTTCCATACGAATGAGTATAAGTCACTCACTCTCTGAGTAAGATTCGTTTTCAGTGTACCTATCTAGTCAACGGTGCCGGCAATACAGTATAAGTGTGTACGGCGTTTAATATTTGTAAGCTTTAACCGATTAAACGGAAAAAATGGTACATTATAAGTTGTGACCAGTGTTGGCAAAATCAGAAATCAATTGATATTTTTCCGCTCTAATGCGCTCGCAATATCACGCGTGATATTGAAACAAAATATCATGCTTGATATTGATTTTACAAGCTCCTTTGATATTGCGAGACTATTCACAACGTGCAAAATCAAGCTAAGAGTTGACTCGACACAGACATGATTCCATTGCACATAGTTTTCTTAGAAAGAGAAAGCATAGTTTGCTATCTCTTTTTAATCTTCACCGATGGCAGCCGCGAAGGGACTGCTGCAAGCCCTTATAGAAGTTTCGGTTGCATTCGGGTGTAAAGCAAAAATCATTAAACTCAATCTCACCACAGTTTGGTGAGATTTGCAGTTGGTGAGTTTTGTTAGCTTGATATTCCGAGCTGCGATATCACAGCTTGCAAAATCAACCGCAGCTGTTTGCTTGTTGATTTTTGTCTACGAAAATCAAGCGTGATCTTGGGCATTGGTGAGATTTGATTTTTTGATATTTTTCCAACACTGGTTGTGACAATATTGCATGATACCGACGCATTATCCATCTGGGCCAATTTGCCAAAAACCACAATCTTCTATCTAGTGGAGCTGTTAATTGGAAGCAAACAATACGTAGCCAAATTGTGTCGCTCAACTGAATTGTATTCCATTTAATAGGCCTTGCCCATCTGAACATCTTTGCTGGAATCCTTCCATTTGAAGGGAATTTCGATATTGGAAGTCTACCTATAATAGCGTCTAACAGTGTGTCGAGCTTCCTTCATCACACTCGCTGACGGACTGACACAAAACAAACTGATACGCTCTTTTATAACCTCGCGCAATCGGCTCGTCTCTCTGTTCTCTTGATAGTCATAGCGAGCGAGCACAGGATTGGTTGATTACGGCCAATAAGTTTGATCAATTCTCAGTTTATAACAATTGATAGACAACTATCATCTTTATACTAAACAAATCTTACATCTAATCTGAATCAAATGGTGTAATTTAAAATTGAAATACATTCATAATTGACTGTGTTTTAAGCGTTTAAAATCTAACACTATTTCGTAACACAAATTGTTTTGATTTGCACCCCAGTATAGTCCACAAAAACATCCTACGTCAAAATGTATCCGCGCAAATTAGAAGAACTGAAAGCGTCAAGGGGTTGATTGTTCATCGAAAAAAAAAGAAAAAATTGTGGTTTGCTGTGGTTAGCTGCGCGCAAGCTGAATAGATAGAAACAAGATTGATGACGATTCTGAAGATTTCCTGCAAAAAGACTCGCGATGCAAGTCGATGCGAGAAATGAAAGAAGATTTTTCAAAGATTGATTCGCTAGTGTGAGATTTGTTGAGCATCTAGAATTGAGATTTAGATGTGTCACCCCCCTCGTATTTCCCCCCAAATTTCTCTAATGCGTATTGCGTTCAGTCTGTAATTGATTCCGATGTAACATTTTCTTTTAATCCCGAAATTAACTCTAGGACATATCATCATAAAACCCAAATAAACTCGTACTTATTAAATATTCGTTTTTCTCTCATCTCCGCTTCTTCCAGTGATTCATCGATATCGACCCGGGTGGACATGCTGACGCCCGCGATCGAAGTGTACAAACCACCCCTCTGACACAAGGATGACACCCTGGAGAGCAACCTCGGCAATCCATCGACCAGTAGCGATCTATGACGAGGTGCACTGTTGCTGGCGGTACGCCACTACTGTTGCTTGAACTAGCGAGGTTCTTCCCCATCAACGGCAAACAGCAACACCATGTGCGCGTACTGTACATCGAATCCGAGCCCGGTAGCCGTGTGACGACAGGTGAATCGGTATCATCGGTGGTAAGTTTTACCGAGACAGAAGACGACGACGACGACGACGATGACAACGATAAAATCACTTTACTGCGGAGGATAGAAAGAAGAACACACACGTAAGTGTCGTAAATAAGAAGCGGAGACGGTCGGGCCGTAGGCCGAAGGGAGGTTCCTAGTAGGGAGGTATTCCATCCGTGCTGCTACTGGTGGGGGTTGGGTGACTGACAGTTGCCGAAGGAATGCACGCAGGAGGATCTCATCGCAGGACGATGATGCTTCCGACCTAACCTATCATTTCTCGGTGTCGTTGTTTTTGTTGTTGTTGTCGCTCCGAGGAGGTTGGGTGTCGGTAATGGCAATGACGGTTGACTGCCGGAACAATACGGTCGGTAATGTATGCATGTATGTATGTATGTATGATTGTCCGTTCACCGGATGTCCTTGTCGGTTTGGTGAACAGGAAGATGAGTGCGGGTATCTCTGGTGACAAAAGTCTACGCAACGGTAATGATAGTAATAACCGAGTAATGAATATGAATAGAAATAGTCGTTTGGATGAATGCTACAAGATCAACCGAGCACAATATGGTGCTATGTAATAGATGTCAAACATGGTTTATGTTTGTTATTTTTTGCGAGAAGAATCTTTTTTATTTTATATTTTTAACCGTTACTGATGGCAGATACCGACCACAGTAGCAGCATGGGGAATTACAGTTAAACTTACGACCAATCGAAGTTCGAACCACAGGAGCTCACGGGCAGCTAATAGAGCAAAAGAAAATTAAAGCAACAGCAGCAGTAGCAAAACTATTTAACAAAAGAAACTGTCTCTTCTGGGTGTCAAATTAAGCAGCAAATCGATCTAATAGGATTAAAACCAATTGACTAATGAAAGGAAAATAGAAGAAGTAAAATCGCTAATCTTAGGAGCCACACTAAAGTAAAACCATGTAAGGTAATTCTATATACATACACGTACACAAGAAAACATTCAAACACACACACACACACACATAAAAACACCGAGCGAGTTAGGAACGAGAAGTAGAAGAAAAAGAAGAAAAACCAACGTGAACAACAAAAGAGCAGAGATCCGTAGCAAATAATCTAACTACGTAAGAGACTTAGTCTAAGTAGGATTAAACAAGGTAACACTGTAGGCTTAAAGATTACACAAATTGACTACTACAAGCGCTAGTTGGGTGCAACGATGGGGGCATAAATGCTTTTCGGTGTTAAGTTGTTTGGTATAATCGAATATTTAAATTCCCATTTTGATCATTTTGGTTCGCACTGTTTCCGGGTCTGATCCCGGCCCATGTTCCTATTCTGAGCCTATTGCTTTAAAGTCAGATTTGATGCATATTTTGAGTGATTAGTAAGTACTTTTTTCCCGGTTCATCTTGATTGAAAATAAGTCTTATTGAGACAATTTTTCACAGCTTTAGCGTTCAAATTTAATTACAGTTCAGAGAATATTTCTAATGGACTATATAATGATTTTTTATAAGTGGTCTACACTCTATTTCAATTCTACTGAGTAGCTGGGAAGAATTGTATTGCCGTTTGTTTTTCTCTCACAGAAATTTACTCCTTTGGTTTTGTTTTTTCCGTCGATCTTGTTTTCCGTGCTGAGCACCAATGCTACCGACGTGCCAGGAAGGCAGCTCCCACACCTGGACTCTACCTATCGACCCATCTACTCATGAACCGGGGACCAACGGCTTTACTTCCCATCCGAAGGAAGGCGTGATCAGAGATGTTTATGCCTCAGAACATCCCGGCGGCGCCGTCTGGGATTGAACCCAGGCCTGCTGGGGTGAGAGGTTATCACGCTTACCACTACACCACCGGCGCCGTTAGAAATTTACTCAGTCACTGAGTAAACTCCCTAACAAACAATTTTAGCTCCAGATTAGCATATACAGGCAAAAATAGGCTTATACAGCTTATTTTTGCCTGTGTAAGCTAGTCTGCAGCTGAAATTGTTTGTTGGGTCCCATTTGTATTGCAACTGACCTACTTTTCCTTGCGATAAAAAAAAAGAGAGGGCAATAATATTCTACTCAGTCACTGAGTAGAAATTAAGGCTGTGAACCATTTGCCGAGTTAAATTTAACTCGTGGTTAAAAGTGACATTTCGAAAGTTATTTCTTATGTTCGAAAATCCCCGTGCTGTCGATCGACCGGTTTTCGAGCTACGGTCGTCAAAATTTAACTTCTTGTCTGAGTTTTGACCGAAAGCAATGGATAGCCTTGTAAACTAAGGCCCAACCGCAATGACAGTGGAAGCGATTTGACAATCGAGCTTCTCACTCTTCTTAATGTTTTCGAAGAATGCCCATCGGAAAGCTGTGCGTGGTGTTTGACGGAGTTGACCATTGAAGCCAGGAATGTAATTTTTTTTTCATTTTAATTTGGATTTTATTCGGAGTTTCTACCGCAGTTTAGCAGCTTGTACATCATTTTTGCTAAACACAATAAAAACAACCATAAACAAACAACAATATCGATCTATTAAAACACGCAGTCCCTCAATTTTTCAACTTTCCTTTCGCAAATATAAACAATTAACAACGCTATTGACGTCCACATTGATTCTGGCATCACTGCCAGCCAGATTGATGCGACTGTCAAATCGACCAATCAGAAACTGGCTTGGATTTGACAGCAAATTTGCTCGAAATCGCCAATTGTCAAGTCCCGTCCCAGGAAAAGTTCAATCTGAGTAAGCCAACTTGTCGGATTGAAAACTACACAGAAACAAAATCCATAGGCATCGTATTTTGTTTATCATCATGATTGGGAGTCACTACCTTCTTGTAAGTCGATAGTCCGGCTCGTTTTTTGGCTCGATGCACGGTTGTAGACGATACACCCAGCTTATTTGCGGCATCTCGGAGAGAGAGGTTAGGGTTTCGCTTGAAACTACCGGCAACTCTCTTTGTCGTCTCAGCGGCTTCCGGTTTTCGATTTCCCCCCGATCCAGACTTCCTGGCTGTCGACAAACGTTCCCCAAACACTTTAATTACATTTGTAACGGTTGATTTGGCAACTTTTAGCGATTTTGCCAACTTTGCGTGCGAGTAGCTCGGATTTTCGCGATGCGCGAGCAAAATTTTGATACGCTGCTCTTCTTGCTTGGACGGCATTTTGACAACTGAAGAGTGAATTCCAAAATCAAAATAGGAGCAACATTCTACACACACACACCTTCAAAATGAGGGGTGTTCAGGTTTTTTAAATGCAAAATTGAAAGAAATACGTCAAGTTGATACTGACCAAATTTTGACCTATCACCCTTTATTACGTAGCTGCTTTATTTTCACTGCTTCACTTCTAAAAACCTCACTGCAAAAAAATCGCCCGTTCACAACGTGCGCCATTTTGAACATAGGAAAAATTGGTATTAACATATGTAACATAAGTCCTGGGAAAAAATCAAAAGCATGCCATTTGAAATCAAACAATTTAATTTTAAAATCTTCTTCAGGGTATTTTATTCTATTTATAAGCTGTTGAAAAATGCATTTACAGTACACTCAATGGTCCCATTATCTTCGATTTTTCGCAGTGTGCAGCGAAATTGTTGAATCAGGGTTTGGACGGTGTCTTTGACGATTTCTTTTAAATTTAGCTTGATTCGATCAACCAATTGTTGCTCAATTTGAGCTTCCCAGCCGTTGTCGTACACCGTAGCCTTGAGTACACCCGATTGGACGAGCCTGAGGCACGTTTGATGGATTGTCCTTTTTCGGTACAAATGGTATTTTTTTCTCAGTTCCAAAATGATACATTTTCCATTCGCAAACGGTTCGCGATGAAGTGCACGGCAACATTTTGGTATTTTTCGAGTTGTTGCTGTGTATATTTTAGAGCACGATGACGTTTCCGATAGATTACGTTGTATTTTTTTTAATCCGTTGGATTGTCTTGTTTGAAACATGAAATTTTCGTGCTAATTTGCGTGTTGATTGACCAAATTTGTTTTCAGCACTTGACAACATTTTTGGGTTGTTATGGCACTCAATTTTGTTGGGCGACCGCATTTCTTTTTATTTTCCGGTTCTTTGCCATCACGACAATCCTTCAAAACACGATAAATAGTTGATTTTGATATTGGCTTGTCTTTGAACACGCTTAGAATTTCACTTGTACTGAGCCGTCCAAAAAGGTTGGTGACTTGAGCACATAAATCCAGCTTGTACGACATTTTAAATGGAAACTACTGCGCAATTTGAGTTTGACAGTTCAGTAGTAGTATAGATAAGCGCGACAAGTGCATTGGTTGACATATGTGTGTTTGTTCATGCCGTCAAATAAACACCTGAAAGTATTCCCAGGACTTATGTTACATATGTTAGAACCATTTCCCAGAATCTGGGTAGATTCCGTAAAGCGTATAGGCTGTCTTGCAATGAGCACTCATACATAGGATTTCCAGTGAAAACTAGATGTATGGGTGCTCATTGCAAGACAGCCTATGTAACATGATATAAGCCATAGTCTGTACGGGGTATTAGGTTAGTCATCTTGATGTTGTTTGTGGCAACTGTCAACCTTGCCGTTTCCGTTCTGTTCATATGTTTGAAAATGTCAGCCACATTTCCCCTTCCTGTTAAAACTCCTGCCGAAAAAGTCTGTTTGAAGTACGAGTAGTTCGGATTTTTGCGATGCACGTGCACAATTTTGATGCGTTGCTCTTCTTGCTTGGACGCCATTTTGATAACTGAAAAGCAAATGTCAAAATCAAAATAGAGGCACCATTTTGCACACACACACACCTACAAAATGAAGGGGGTTCAGGTTTTTTAAGGCTGTGAACCATTTGCCAAGTTAAATTTAACTCGAGGTGAAAAGTGACATTTCGAAAGTTATTTTCTATGTTCGAAAATCCCCGTACTGTCAATCGACCGGTTTTCAACCCACGGTTGTCAAAATTTAACTTCTAGTCTGTCAGAAATAACCATGCTTGGATAGCAGGGTTCATCGATAACTTTCCATCTGTCAAATTTCAACTAAAAGTTAAAATAATCCACGAATGGTTCAGAGCCTAAATCCTCGATTAAAAGAAATGCGTCAAGTTTAAGCCAACCAAATTTTGATTGTAATACCCCGTACAGACTATGGCTTATATAATGTAATATAGGCTGTCTTGCAATGAGCACTCATACATCTAGTTTTCACTGGAAATCCTATGTATGAGTGCTCATTGCAAGACAGCCTATATTACATGATATAAGCCATAGTCTGTACGGGGTATAACACTCTTTATGACTTGTAAAGGGTTAGAACTGTAAAGTAGTTCTAAACATAGTGTTAAATTATTGACAGCTTAGGCTGAGTGTGAAAGCACTGCTCTATTCAATTCATTGCTCTATCCAGACCGTATGTACCAAATAGAAATACTCAGAGGGAGAGATAGGCGGAGAAAACAAAATACAATTCGGCAGCAGGGATTTGTACCTAAATTATCTTGCAACCCTTGCTAGAAGCCAGCATTTCACATGACTTTTATGTTTGATTCGATTTACGTCCAAATTATAATTGATTGCATCGCAATATTTTGCACATTTCTTAGTGCCATTAATTAACCAGCTAAGATCAATTAATTAATAGAGTTAGAATATGTATTGTTTTTGATTCCAAAAACTAGTTGAATTTGAGAAGCACACGAAACATAAAGGTGATTGCAATACTCTTAAATTTAATCTAATAAGAATAAGAAATCCTCGGACAAAATCTAATGGGAATGTTCGATTGGCTCAGATTTTGTCAGTTCATTTGGCTCAAAACATTCTCTCCGCGCATCTCTCCCTCTGAGTATTTCTAGTACCAAACGGTAAAAGACGAAGCAATGAAAGAGCCAAACAAAAACATTCAGTCACTCGCGAGCAGGCGACTCACACCGCTTACCTTCGCTCACACAGCATGTAATTGAGGCATTTTTCCATAGAAAATGTTAGGATTGGGTACCATCACGGAAGAATAAGCGTGCTGATTGAGCTACTGACTGAGTGCTCTGCTGTCAGTGACTCGTTTACTTCTCAATAATTCAGACTCTCACGAGGCAGTGAATGATGAGGCGGATGGCTGTTCATATTCATATGGAAATGACTCATTGAATCGGAATGTTTTGCGCACTGGTTCTAAATGACAAGACTTGTCGTTTTGGTGGGCATCTTAGTTGAATATTCACTGACCACTAGTGCCATTTGATTTTAATTGCTTGCTCGGATCTACATCTCGACTAGATTGAAAGTTACTGT